CTGGACAACTTAGGCTTTCATCTCCACGTTTGGGGTTCTGTTCTTTAATTGTATCTCTTTGGCTGAAGCCTTCAAGCTTCCCATTCATGTAACCTCTTCTGCAGTTTTACCCAACCCTGAGGTTGCCTTACTACAATTGTTTCCTGACTAGATCACACACCACAAACAAAAAATACTGTGCCACAATTTACTAGCTGTAAAATATCAAACAGCCTGTACATGGTGTAACGGAGCTCCCTGTACTCCGACCGAGTACCCTCCGTTGATGGATGCTCCTAGCGCTTCCTGAGGACTCCAAACACTGCAGCCGACACCACAACCACCGCAGACTCCACAACCGCCGTAGCTTAACTGGAGTCTCGCCGTCTTCCTTCCACCCTGGATCAGCTTCTGTCCTCCAGGACCGTGTGGGGAAGACCTCTCCTCCAGGAGAGCGTAACAGGAACAGCTCTTAAAAGAGCTAAGTGATTAAAAGCTCAGGGGAGTATGCAGAGCATAGCAATCCCCAGTGTGATATAGCAGTTCCCTCCAATAACGAGACAAGGCTACGTATTGAGGGTCAAGAAGATCTGATGTTTAATGGCACACACTCTGCTTTTATGAGATTCTGCCCATGCAAGGGAGACACCCACATAATTAGCAGTATAACCAATCGGAACAATATACATTCGGGGAAATTCCCATCCCTCAGATAATCACATAACATAATTAAAACAGAACAGTAAAAATACAGTTTTTATACATGTGCTATAACTTCCAAACTACACATCCAATCTTCATAAAAATTACATATTTGGAATCAATCCATTAAGGGGAGCAACATATTAAAAAATGGCACAAATCAGACAAGGGGTTCAAAAGTTAGCAAAAGTGTCTTTTGGGGCCTGGCTGGCAGCATGGTTTTCTGGCCCAAACCGGTTTTACAGAGGCCTCTATCCTGGACAATGGGGAAAGTAATCCAATTATCCAGGGATAGAGGCAGACTCCATTAACCACATGTTAGCAAAAGACACAAAAAGACACAAAAATACATAACTCCTATTGAACTGAACAGAACCCCCACATTCAACCTATCTCCAGATGGCTTGGATCTGAGCGCTCAATATATCCAAACAGCGCTCAGATCCCACAAATACAGTCAAATCGCCATACACACTAGGTCCATAGTCATGGGGCAGAAGGCTGGCAATTAGGCTTCTCCATAACACAGGGAAGCAGGGCAATTTGTCAAATAAAATAACAGTTACAAATGGCAGTTTGTAACACATGGTATTCACACTCTGTATGCACAATGACTTCTATCATATGTACCATTGCTGCTAATAATGCTTAAGAAAAAATGTCTAATAGCCTTCAAAATACTTAAAGTACATATAACAGAAAATTCCCAGACTGAGATATGTTCTTCCTGTCGAGCTGTTATCACATATAATTCAACTGACTCTCCTCTGCTGTAATCTCTGCTTTTTAGTTTTGAGGGTGTATCTCACAAATTAGAATTATGTTGCAAACAGGTGCATGCCTTTATCATAGCTTAAAGTCTTGATCTTGATTGAGCATCCCTTGCATATCCCTCTCGTTGTCACGATTCGGGGAACCAAACACGCCAACACACACACACACAAAGTGCAGTACCGGACCTTAGAGTGGCCGGGCTAAGCACACAAAGAATAGTCAGGAAACAAGCCGAGTAAAAGGGAACCAGAAGACAGAATAACGATAGACAAGCCGAGGTCAAAGGGTAGGAGAAAGTCACAAAGTCGGATAAATAAGCCAGAGAGTACCTAACCAGAAACAGGAGTTCAGTAGTAATACTAGCAAGTAAAGACCACAACAGGGCGGAGAGGAACAGGAAAGGTAAGTATTTAAATCCATAGGTTAATTCTGATTGGATAATTTCCAATCAGAATTAACAATCACACGTGGGAGATATCTAAACCTCCCACTGTGATTGAGGCACTGTGCCTTTAACGCCGGGTCAAGTGACTGACCCCAACGATTGTTAAAATGGGCGGTCTCCCAGCGTGCAGCGTCAGGCATGCTGCCGCTGGGGGACACAGAGGAAGACGCGGGCGGCATCCGTGGCTGGGAGGATGCCACCCGCCGAGCGCACGCCAGGAAGGGGACCGTGGACGGCTGGAGGGTGAGTGCCGCGAGCGGACTGCAACCTCCCCTCGCAGCCGCCCGTGGGACCTTGACTCGTCTCTAGTTTCTCCTTTATCAGCTATTTTCTTCCCCTCTTTCACTTTGACACCTTTTTTTTCCTCCTCTATTCCACTCTTGCCCATGTAATATTACCTTTGGGTGGTGAGAGCTACTTATTTACTTTTTAGATCAAGTTTGGATATTGTATGTTGTTTTATGTAAGATCAGGTTTTTGTTATCATCTAAAAATCCTAAAAATGTAATTTATTGGAAAAAGTTCTTCATATACCTCTGTTGACATTGAAGTTTTATTTTACATACCCTTTATTACCTGACTTTGCATTTTATTTTCTTTTCTGTTATTTTTTAGAAAGGTGGAGATTCCACTAGCATTGATCTACTTTGATACATTTTCTTAATTGACAAACAATATAACCTCTCTCTCTTGCATTCTAACCACAGGAACAGTTTTCCACTCTAACAATTGTCCCCCTTGCTCTGAAGGTGTTATTTGCCGGTAAAATGTGTTAATGAAGACAACCCAGGCAATAAGCTTTGGAAGGTGATAGCGTGCTAATTGCTTCCTGTTTCCCAATATAAAATTCTGTTTTGATCTGTCAGACAAAATATATGTGTTGCTTAGGATAAAATTACATTTCAATTGGAAATTATAATTAGTCTGCTTACACAACATGATTTTTAATAATGATGTCCATATACCTACTTTTCTTTGGTGATTATCTATAATAATAATTGGAAAAAAAATCCAGAGAAATAACCCAATACCAGGTAAATAAATCTATATATAAATAAAGAAAAATAATTTTCTTAATTACATTTGCCATGTTCAGATTTGCTTATGATCTAAAGTCTAAGGATCTTTGAACTATATGGAAAATTGAGTTTACAAACATTGTCCTACCATGGTTAGTTATACCTGGGATTGCATTTTGTAGCCTCTAATATATATATATATATATATATATATATATATATTCTCCCTACCCTAACGTCACATTCCAATATCATATCCATATACACTAACCATACATCATGTAAGTGCCCTTTGTGCTGCCAAAACTGCTGTGATGCATCAAGACATGGACTCCTCAAGACTTTTAAACATGTCCTGTTGTATATGACACCAAGACATTAGCAGTAGATCCTGCAAGTTGCAAGTTGGGACCTCCATGGATCGGATTTGCTGTTCCAGCACATCCCACAGATGCTCAATTGGATTGAGAACTGAGATAATTGTAGGTACAGGCAATACCGTAAACACTATGTCATGTTCGTCAAACCATTTCTGAATAATTTTTGCAATGTGGCCGTGTGCATTATCCTGCTGAAAGAGGTCACTGTTATCAAGAAACACCATTGCCATGAATGGTTGTGCATGGTCTGCAACAGTATCTAGGTAGGTGACACATGCTAAAGTAACATTTACATGAATACCAGGACCCAAGATATTTCAGCAAACCATTGCTCAGAGCATAACACTGCTGACCTGCTTTCTTCCTGTAAAGTATTCTGTTGCCATCTCCCCACATGCACCCGGCCAGTCACCTGATCTAAAAGAAAACATGGTTCATCAGATCAGGCAACCTTCTTCTGTTGCACCATTGTCCAGTCCTGACGCTCATTTCTTCGTTAAAGGTGCTTTTGTGGTGGGCAGGGGTCATAAGGGGCACTCTTACCATTCTGTGGCTACGTAACCCCATACGTAACGAACTGCGATGCACTGTGTGTTCTGACACCTTTTGATCATGGCCAGCATTATGTTTTTTTTAGCAATTTGAGCTACAGTAGCTCTTCTGTAAGTTGTTTCTTCTGCAATAGAAAAACATTACAAACTATACTTTCATTTGAGTGTTAAATCTGATTGTAGGCAATACCTGCCATGTATGTTTGCTCTCCAAAATGAAGTGACTGGTTGCAGAGATTAGCTTTTTGGACATTCTGTTACAATGAAATAAAAGGCAGATTGAAAACTCCCTGAACCAAGAAATCCTGATATATACTGCAACGTCAATTTCAGTTCTCTATGGTAAGCCAAGACTTTTTGGATTATGGAAAATGTTTTCAATTTTCGAGTACTGTATAAATCATAACTTGCTACATCAAATTAAACGTTAGGACATTCAGGAGTTTATTGGCTAATCAGGGATTTAAGTGAACCAACAATGGAATGGCAAAATGTAGGAAAAAAAAAAATCAAAGGAGAAGAATTATTCAGGCTCTTTTATTTTGTCCCAAAAAGCAGGTCCGTCTTTAACACAGGGCAAACAGGGATCCAGAGCAGCTGCCCCGTGATTTGTGCAGCCCCCATGGACCAGGGGGTACGGCTGCACAGAGCCGCACTGGCCCGCACACTAAGGAGGCCCCCTGGCTGGCCCATGCACTAAGGGCCACCCAGTGTCAGCAGGGGCATGTGTCATGTGTCAGCAGGGGCCCAGTTGGGGACTGTGGCGCTTGAACAGCGTGACCAGGCCCCTTCCTTCGGCAGCCAGCTGTGAGGAAATGAGTGCCGCGTGTCACTTCCTCCCACTGGAGATCAGAGCCGCACGGGAGGAGGAAGACAGGGAGGAGGGGAGTTCCAGAAGATAACTCCCAACTGCCTCAGCCTGCCACTGGACCCCAGGGAAACCCCCCTCGAGAAAAAAGGTAAGAACTTGGAGGGTGGCTAAATGAAGCATGTGTGTCAGTATGTCTTTATGTCTGTGTGTTTGTGTGTGTATGTCAGTATGTGTGTGTATGTCTGTGTGTGTATGTCAGTATGCCTGTGTGTGTGTCAGCATGTATGTGTGTGTCAGTAGGCCTGTGTGTGTGTGTTAGCATGTCTGTGTGTATGTCAGTATTCCTGTGTGTGTGTGTCAGTATGTCTGTGTGTGTGTGTGTGTGTGTGTGTGTGTGTAAGACATACTGACACACACACAGATAGACATACTGACACACACAGACAGACATACTGGCACACACACTGACAGACATACTGACACACACTGACATATTGAAACACACATACAGACATACTAACACACACACACACACACACAGGCATACTGTGTGTGTGTGTGTGTGTGTGTGTCAATATGTCTTTCTGTCAGTGTGTGTGTCAATATGTCTGTCTGTGTGTGTGTGTGTTAATATGTCTGTCAGTGTATGTGTCTGTGTGTGTTTCAGTATTTCTGTTAATGTCGGTGTGTGTCAGAATATCTGTCAGTGTATGTGTGTCAGTATGTCTGAATGTGTGTCACTATGTCTGCCAGTATATATTTGTGTGTCTGTGTGTGTATGTGTCAGTATGTCTGTCAGTGTATATGGCTGTGTAAGTATGTTTTGAATCTCTCTACTTTAGTTTCCCCACTGCATAATCTATACACCAAAACTGCTTCATTAAGCTAAAGTTGTTTTGGTGACAATAGTGTCCCTTTAAATAACATTTTATACTGTTTATATTGTGCACCATTTCATTGAGTTAATTGTCATGACCTTCAAGATCTGATGTGAGACAATGCTGTCATTCTTTTGCTCAGTTTGCAAAAAAAGTCTTCAGCATAATCTGAGCATGTGAATGTTACTTTTATTTTGTGAATGTAGAATCTTTTGAGCTTTTGTCCACTCTGTACTTTTATAATTGCTGTTTTAGAGAGACACTCCAGGGAAGTACAGGGAATTACCCTATGTTCTTTGAACTATATTGGTTAGAACTTGTATGATAACCACGTACATTACTTTGTATGTTAATTTGAAAATTATTAGTTTTGCTTGTTTCTTAATTTCACTAAGGAACAAAAGAATGCATAAATGTTTCCATAATATAAAAATATTAGCAAAGCTAATTTCCATTTCATAGAATTTATTTGCATTGAAACAATACTCTATTGTAATGAGCATAAACTTCAGGAATTCACTTCTTTTGTGGTGTTCCAATACAATTTAGAGTAGAATGACATATTTATTGAATTGATTCTGTTTTTTTTTTGTTTTTTTTAAAAATGATTTAACAGTGAAAATGTATAGATTGCTATGTTGAACAAGGTGAAAAATGACAGGTCAAGAAAAAGTGAAATGTTCTCTTGTTTTTTTTATTTATGTTGACAGCAGGAAAACGTGTTTCTATGCTATTAACAGTTTCACATGTAGAAGGTCGACCCTTAACTCGGCTACTTTGTGTTTAGTTAGTTAATATTCAGTTCACGTATTTAACCTGTTATCATTGTGGGCCAATCTATTTTAAGTTGTCCAACTACATCCCTATCACTGTTTGGCCTGCAGGGCTAATATGTATTACTGTTTAAACTGTTGACCTTGCTTAATTCAGCTGTCTGTGTTGGTCAATATTCCTATAGAAATACGTTCTTCTAGTGAATGTCTATTTTATTTAATTCTTTTAATATATAAAACATTTATGCTCATTTCCAGTGTCCCCAGGCTTCTAAGCATTGACTGTACTTGTCTATGTTGTCCTTCGGATATAGCTTCCAGCAGTCTGTTCACTGATTTCCAGTTATAATATTATTTCTGGTCTACATATAACATCTTCTAAAGCTATATTTTAATACACATACTCTTTTTGTAATTCATAATCTAATTTAGAGCCGACCATAGCCTTCGTATACTGGTAAAATAAAACATTCATAGATTCTTATACTGAACTAAAATAATATTGTTTGAGCAATTTTAATTTACTTTATAATTTAAAAATAAAACTGTGCCTAAATAAATACTTGCATACAACAGTTAAATACCTCCCACGTATCATTTGCACCAGACAGAGCATTTAAGTTATATAATTGGAATGCAGAACATTCCAATATATTTGATTAATTTTCATTATCGATGTCCGTGTGCCTTATACCACATCAATCTCGTATTTCCATGAAACGGTGATATATCTTATTATATGTGACATAAATTATGCTTTGCACTAAAATGTATATTTTATCTATTTGCAGAACATCTTAACTCAGCCAGGTTATGTGGCCAGCAATTCATTCATTAATGGATGATAATTCACTGTAACAGATTCTATGAATGTGCTTGTTTCTTCTCTTAAAGAAAGCTATAGAACACTCGGGGAAATCTTTTTGAACCACTTGTTCTTTCTATTCAACTTCAAAACCACTGATCTCCGAGCTGAAACATTTCTCACCATAAAATCTCTTCAACAACTCTAATTACAAAACTTTTTCTTGCACTTCTCCAAGCTTCTTTTTCAGTTATATAACAATACATTTCTTCTTTTCCATTTTTTATGTCGGCATTTTATGTTGCAGGTCATTTTTTTCTCTCTTTATTATTTTTTAAAAAAAATTGTATATTTAGAAAAAATTTTTTATTACATTAGTGTGTATATGCTTCGTTTTTCTTCTCAAATGCTCAATTTGATCTTTTTCCAATGGAAACCTTTTTATCTGTGTTTATTTACATAAGATATACAAAAATATATGTATTGTGGTTGGGGACAAAGGCGGAGGATATTGACTTCATAGGTAGGGGAGAAAGATGGTTTGTGGTGGGTCAAAGCCGATGTATGTGTGAGACTGTGGATGATGAAAGGGATGAGCAGCACCACTGGACAGAGGCATATAAATGAATGAAAAATTGAGTGTTGTGGCGTGGGTGGCCTCTTGGTAATGTTTACAGAGTTTAAGATAGAGTAGCCATAACCGTTGAATCCCTTTACCCAAAGGGAAGTGTTGCAAGACACTAACTATGAGTTGGGCCATGGGATACCTCCAAGCATAAGGAAAGACGTTGATCTCGCAGATCATCTACCTAACTGCATAAGAAGCCTAAACACAACTTTGGTGCCTAAACACTACTGTGCACTTGAAAGCCCACATATGAATGACATTTTAATTGAGCCTGTGTGCCTCTTGTGTGAGCGGGTAGGCTACGTGATGGAAGGAATGCTCAAGTATCGTATGGAGATGAAAAGACAATAACTGAAATGCCTGAAAGAAAGGCCTTACCAAGTAAGCATTAGTAATGGAAGTAACCAACAGCTTATGAGTGCTTGACAAAATAGCAGTGGAGCCAAAATTGAGAAAGATCAAATTAATGCCTCAATTGTGAGAGTTACTACAACCAACAGATGTGTAATCATATAGTAAAACCGTGCTGTATGTGAGACAATGGTCATGCAATGGATGACATACAGATATCAGTAAAGATATCTGTGCTAATAAGGAAGGTCAACCACAGAGTGATTTGATGCAGGTATGCTTTATAATGTAAAAATAAAAATACACACCAGTGTGAATAGCTTGGAGGCAGGAAAACTTTGTACCACATCATGGTTAACAAGTACTGATTTTAATATTTCAAACACACATGATGAAACAACATTTGTAACAAAACTTATGTATAAAATGGTGTATAGTTTGAACTGTTTGTATAGCAAGGCAGTATGTACCCTGAAAGGCCATTTCTTTTGCAAAACATATTTAACAATGACAAGTACCACGGTCTAGCATTCATATAAGGCTGATTTTAGAGAATGAACTGATGCACATATAGCACACTTATGCATATACAGAACTGACAATGTGCCATATATTATGAAAAAAATAAACCTTAAATAAAGAAATACATACTGGCGACCACTTGTGCAAATTGTAAAATGTCTAGAGACAAATTATTAGACGTGTGACAAGCCTTATATATTCCATATTGAAGCATGAGTATAAAATGGATTAATCTGTCAGTAAATTCCAGCAAATTTGGCACTTCACTATTTCACATTTTAGCCTTGAACAGGTCACACACCGTTAAGGCCAACCCTGATCCTGGACCTTCAGGAGAATAATTGAGACCCTCATTGGGGCCGTGACTATGAGATTGAGAATGACTGATATACCAGCTTCTTCCAAAATTATACCTTCAATTCAAGTAAATTACATCCACTGTAACATCAGAATCTATACTGGTTCTTCACAAAATAAACTACCATCTCTGACTATGTTACATAGTACCATTAACCTATAGATATCTGCTTCCCTTAGCTGCTAATATAATTTTTTCCATCTATCAACGGCAACATTAACAATGGGTAATATCTAAAAAAAAAGCTGGGGGGGAGGGGCAATACTTATTAATAGTTTCAGTCCCATACAGCAGCTATTTCAGAATATTTTTATTTTATAACACGGTTTACGTATTGTATATATATATTTTTTAAATATGATTTAATCTCCCTGTGTTTTATTTTTTTTTCCTGTTGATTTGTAACAATTCTAACCTTTCCATTTTTTTGTTACTCAGTAAAACATTTTTCATACTGCCTTCCATTTCAAATTAATGGCTATCTTTTCTTTTTGTGTGAGCTAGTCATACAAACAGTTATTTGAGGACATCCAACTGCGAGAGATGGTTCAGTCCTCCATTATCCCCCCTCCCCCCCACTAGGTTAATTCTTTCTACAAACACAACAGCAGGTTCAGCTTCTACTGTCACGTAGAGTCCCTCAAGGTCACCAGCTGAACCCATGTCTTTCTGATTAGCTAGGAAATATTATCTTCTGACTGGTTTACACCACAGTGTTGTTTATTCAAATGGCCACAATTTAAGATGACATTGCTATGGCATCTTCCTTAGCACTGTCTGCAGTAGCACCCATTGTAATATTTATAAATAGAATTACTATAATGAGATCCCTTCAGTGAAATATTATTTTCTTATTTTTGTGTTTCCTTGCTGCCCTGAGATTATTTTTTTGAACAATCAATGGCAGATCTCCAGGTATTGTGAGATTCCAATTTCAATTTTCCAGCCTTGGGCCGGACTCTCTTGGCAGAGTACGGCTTCACGGTTTACATTACCCAATATAAAGCATTTTCCCCAAAGACTTTAAACGACAAATTACTACTCAGTAACCAGAGTAAACTTCTATTCTGCTCAGAAATGTCACCCCCTAATGTTTGCTGACTATCATATGATTTGTATTTCTAAAATTCTAGGGATCTACCTTTTGGCCACCCTGATCTAAAAAAAAAATAAGTTATGAAATAAATATGTAGATTATAATTGGTGAAATGTGTGCTGAAACACAGTTATAAAATGTGACTTTCACAAAAAGCTTTTATTGTAGGCCTTAACTAAGTAATGGCTGCAATGTATTTCACTTTCCCAATACAAAAGCATAGGAAATGTGATAAATTAAGGTTTAACATATTCTTATCTTATGTTACATAGTACAATTAACCTATAGGTATCTGCTTCCATTAGCTAATAATATTACGTTTTCCATCTATCAATGGCAATATTAACAATGGGTAATACCCAAAAAGGCTGGGGGCAATACTTATTGATAGTTAATGTTTAGTCACTGAGCAGTATTAAGGGAGGTTAGTAAGAGTTTCAGTACAGTTTTTTTTTATAAAAAAAAAAAAAAAAATGACCCTTACAAAATCTGTGGATGTCTTGGTCCTCTGTATGGAGGGCCCTCTCAATACCTCTCTTAAACCTACTGGAAGTAACAACCTCCCTGTACTGCCAGAGATTGCTCAGTCCACATGTAATGCTCATAATACACCTGTGCCACCCCTATGTTCCTATACGGAGGTATTCCCAATAATCTTTAAAATCAAGGGGTCTCAAACCATATTTCCCTAGATGTAGTAGACTTGCAACTTTAGCCAGGATGAGTATTGTCTAGTACTAGTGTGTAGATCTGCAACTTCAATCATACTTCGGGCTATAACAGTGTTTAGCAGTAGTGCACGGTTGGAATGTTTAATATTTTTTAAGATGCAAAGACAATCTTAAAAGTTTATTGTAGTAGATGCCCAACTCAAAATGCAGTGGATGATAATTTTGAGGGACTTGTCAACATTAGATGAGTAATTAATAAAAATAATATTATTTTTCTCAGTAGCGACAAAGGAATGGTATATCCTTGTGTGATGTTGGACTACAACTATTATGGTTCTCATGTAGCCTCCCACTATGGGTACGAGGAATAAATGGGTAGGTAGATGCACCCATTTATTTAAAGAAACACTCAAAGCACAAAAGCCACAACAATTTACTCCATGGCTATGGTACCAGGAGTCCTCTGAAGCACTCCAATTGTTTCAGACTTTCTACCTTGGGTCTGCCAGGAATCCATCTCTGCTCCCACAAAATAGCTGAATTAGAAAAAAATATACAGGGAGTGCAGAATTATTAGGCAAGTTGTATTTTTGAGGATTAATTTTATTATTGAACAACAACCATGTTCTCAATGAACCCAAAAAACTCATTAATATCAAAGCTGAATATTTTTGGAAGTAGTTTTTAGTTTGTTTTTAGTTTTAGCTATGTTAGGGGGATATCTGTGTGTGCAGGTGACTATTACTGTGCATAATTATTAGGCAACTTAACAAAAAACAAATATATACCCATTTCAATTATTTATTATTACCAGTGAAACCAATATAACATCTCAACATTCACAAATATACATTTCTGACATTCAAAAACAAAACAAAAACAAATCAGTGACCAATATAGCCACCTTTCTTTGCAAGGACACTCAAAAGCCTGCCATCCATGGATTCTGTCAGTGTTTTGATCTGTTCACCATCAACATTGCGTGCAGCAGCAACCACAGCCTCCCAGACACTGTTCAGAGAGGTGTACTGTTTTCCCTCCTTGTAAATCTCACATTTGATGATGGACCACAGGTTCTCAATGGGGTTCAGATCAGGTGAACAAGGAGGCCATGTCATTAGATTTTCTTCTTTTATACCCTTTCTTGCCAGCCACGCTGTGGAGTACTTGGACGCGTGTGATGGAGCATTGTCCTGCATGAAAATCATGTTTTTCTTGAAGGATGCAGACTTCTTCCTGTACCACTGCTTGAAGAAGGTGTCTTCCAGGAACTGGCAGTAGGACTGGGAGTTGAGCTTGACTCCATCCTCAACCCGAAAAGGCCCCACAAGCTCATCTTTGATGATACCAGCCCAAACCAGTACTCCACCTCCACCTTGCTGGCGTCTGAGTCGGACTGGAGCTCTCTGCCCTTTACCAATCCAGCCACGGGCCCATCCATCTGGCCCATCAAGACTCACTCTCATTTCATCAGTCCATAAAACCTTAGAAAAATCAGTCTTGAGATATTTCTTGGCCCAGTCTTGACGTTTCAGCTTGTGTGTCTTGTTCAGTGGTGGTCGTCTTTCAGCCTTTCTTACCTTGGCCATGTCTCTGAGTATTGCACACCTTGTGCTTTTGGGCACTCCAGTGATGTTGCAGCTCTGAAATATGGCCAAACTGGTGGCAAGTGGCATCGTGGCAGCTGCACGCTTGACTTTTCTCAGTTCATGGGCAGTTATTTTGCGCCTTGGTTTTTCCACACGCTTCTTGCGACCCTGTTGACTATTTTGAATGAAACGCTTGATTGTTCGATGATCACGCTTCAGAAGCTTTGCAATTTTAAGAGTGCTGCATCCCTCTGCAAGATATCTCACTATTTTTGACTTTTCTGAGCCTGTCAAGTCCTTCTTTTGACCCATTTTGCCAAAGGAAAGGAAGTTGCCTAATAATTATGCACACCTGATATAGGGTGTTGATGTCATTAGACCACACCCCTTCTCATTACAGAGATGCACTAATATGCTTAATTGGTAGTAGGCTTTCGAGCCTATACAGCTTGGAGTAAGAAAACATGCATAAAGAGGATGATGTGGTCAAAATACTAATTTGCCTAATAATTCTGCACTCCCTGTATTACCTCATGCTGTTGTGGTTATGGTGTTTTCAGTGTTCCTTTAACCTCTTCACTGTCAGCTATAGGGAGGATGATAAGAAAGGACCACTGTCAGCTATGGGGAGGATGATAAGAGAGGACCACTGTCAGGTAGGGGGAGGATGATAAGAAATGACCACTGTCAGCTATGGTGAGGATGATAAGAAAGGATCACTGTCAGCTATGGGGAGGATGATAAGAGAGGACCACTGTCAGGTATCCCCTATTACTTTTAAGATTACTGTTAAGATTTCTCAACACACAGCTCAGAGAAAACCTTTATTTACAGGTCTCTGTCTATCAATATGGGCATAATTACAGGGAGTGCAGAATTATTAGGCAAATGAGTATTTTGACCACATCATCCTCTTTATGCATGCTGTCTTACTCCAAGCTGTATAGGCTCGAAAGCCTACTACCAATTAAGCATATTAGGTGATGTGCATCTCTGTAATGAGAAGGGGTGTGGTCTAATGACATCAACACCCTATATCAGGTGTGCATAATTATTTGGCAACTTCCTTTCCTTTGGCAAAATGGGTCAAAAGAAGGACTTGACAGGCTCAGAAAAGTCAAAAATAGTGAGATATCTTGCAGAGGGATGCAGCACTCTTAAAATTGCAAAGCTTCTGAAGCGTGATCATCGAACAATCAAGCGTTTCATTCAAAATAGTCAACAGGGTCGCAAGAAGCGTGTGGAAAAACCAAGGCGCAAAATAACTGCCCATGAACTGAGAAAAGTCAAGCGTGCAGCTGCCACGATGCCACTTGCCACCAGTTTGGCCATATTTCAGAGCTGCAACATCACTGGAGTGCCCAAAAGCACAAGGTGTGCAATACTCAGAGACATGGCCAAGGTAAGAAAGGCTGAAAGACGACCACCACTGAACAAGACACACAAGCTGAAACGTCAAGACTGGGCCAAGAAATATCTCAAGACTGATTTTTCTAAGGTTTTATGGACTGATGAAATGAGAGTGAGTCTTGATGGGCCAGATGGATGGGCCCGTGGCTGGATTGGTAAAGGGCAGAGAGCTCCAGTCCGACTCAGATGCCAGCAAGGTGGAGGTGGAGTACTGGTTTGGGCTGGTATCATCAAAGATGAGCTTGTGGGGCCTTTTCGGGTTGAGGATGGAGTCAAGCTCAACTCCCAGTCCTACTGCCAGTTCCTGGAAGACACCTTCTTCAAGCAGTGGTACAGGAAGAAGTCTGCATCCTTCAAGAAAAACATGATTTTCATGCAGGACAATGCTCCATCACACGCGTCCAAGTACTCCACAGCGTGGCTGGCAAGAAAGGGTATAAAAGAAGAAAATCTAATGACATGGCCTCCTTGTTCACCTGATCTGAACCCCATTGAGAACCTGTGGTCCATCATCAAATGTGAGATTTACAAGGAGGGAAAACAGTACACCTCTCTGAACAGTGTCTGGGAGGCTGTGGTTGCTGCTGCACGCAATGTTGATGGTGAACAGATCAAAACACTGACAGAATCCATGGATGGCAGGCTTTTGAGTGTCCTTGCAAAGAAAGGTGGCTATATTGGTCACTGATTTGTTTTTGTTTTGTTTTTGAATGTCAGAATTGTATATTTGTGAATGTTGAGATGTTATATTGGTTTCACTGGTAATAATAAATAATTGAAATGGGTATATATTTGTTTTTTGTTAAGTTGCCTAATAATTATGCACAGTAATAGTCACCTGCACACACAGATATCCCCCTAACATAGCTATAACTAAAAACAAACTAAAAACTACTTCCAAAAATATTCAGCTTTGATATTAATGAGTTTTTTGGGTTCATTGAGAACATGGTTGTTGTTCAATAATAAAATTAATCCTCAAAAATGAAACTTGCCTAATAATTCTGCACTCCCTGTAGTGATTGGGGAGATCAAAATTATAGAACTATAAAATTAGCTAAAGTGGTGATTTCTATAATTCAGCTATTTCAGCTGTAAATGTGTGATTCTCTCACCAGTTCTCTGCAATTCACAGTTTAGTGAATAGTTTTCCATCTGCAACGTTTACAGTCTCCATTAAATACTGTATGGGTTTTTGCTACTGTAGAGAAATATGTTTTCTAATCTTGATGACCTTTCATGGTCATCTCAGATGGATGTTTCTATTTTTCAGAGCAAAAATATGCTTTCTTGAATACGTAGGCTGAAAGATTTAGCTTGACATAGGTTTGGTGAGTTTGGCTTAATGTCAAATGTTCTATTATAATTACTACGTTTTGTTATCATGCTGGGCAAGCAGAATCATGTCAGATGATGGCATCTGGAGATTATTTATGTGTAACATATTGAAGATAAAATCTTTTCATTGTGTATATGGAGGTTTCTATCCTCTATTTATTCACATTGATCAATTCTCCCATGCAGCTCACTACTGGAATAAAAATTGAAGAAAAAGACATCAAGGTCACCATATGAACAGTAACTGCAAAATCCTCTCTTTATTTTCCATCTAATGGTAATATCCAGTAAGAATGTTTATTTTTCTTTTTTTTTTTTTTAAATGGTTGAACAGCTTTTAAACTATATGAACACAAAAAGGAATCTGGTTAAGAATAGTGATAATTACCATGATGAAAAACATTGCATAATACATGCCACTATTGTGTTCTTTGTGAGTAAAGTGTAATGAACTTTGAATCATGCATTCATGTATCCTTTATAATAAGCATGATCAACAGAAATGTAAATCATAACTGCAGATAAGAAGAATTGGTCTATCTGGTATGCCTACTGTGAAATCTCAGATTGACTTTTCTTTGCATATACAATGTTTTCATCAATTTAATTTTCCAAGCTCCATTCTTGTGGAACAGCCTGCCTCCCTCCATCAGACCCGTCCCTACGCTACAATCCAGAAGTCCCTTAAAGTCCACCTCTTCAGAATAGTATATAGGCTGCTAGGGTAACTGTCGTTCTATATATATATATATATATATATATAAATGTAATAAGCTCCTGCACTCCAACCTAACAATAATCAAAAAATGACCCGGTGCTCTGGTAGCTCCATAGTATAAAATGAAAAAAAATACTGGCACTCCAAGGATTTTCAAAGTTTGAAAATCCTTGGAGTGCCGGTATTTTTTTTCATTTTATATATATATATATGTATATATATATGTCTTATTCTTTCAACTTAATTAGCGGGTCCATTTTCCACTTCACTCTCATCTTCCAGTCCTGCTACTTTCCCACCCTGTCACTTGATCGTTAATCTCCTATGCTGTCCTCCCTATTATGATTTTATCCCCCACCTCTAGATTGTAAGCTTGTGTGAAGAGGGTCCTCATCAACCTATTGTTCCACTCAAAATTTGTAATAGTTTGTCTCATTTGTTGTTAAATTCCCTTAATAATATTGTAAAAAGATGCAGAATGAGTTGGTTCTATATAAAAACCAACAATAATATTTTATGCCATCAAGAACTTATATACTGTCCCCAAAACCTTACTGGTTGCCAGTGGAGATGATTGAATCATCATGCTATATGTCTAACACACTTTTGCATTTTGGCTGCTGCTGTCACTAGTTTTCCCTCACAGGTCAATAGGGAAGCTCTTCCAGTCCATAGTTCAGTAAAATCAAGACAAGGCATGGATCAGAGACAGCCCTCCGAGGATGAAATGTAATGTTCCATTTAATGCAACCTTGTTTGACAGATGCATCACTACACATACATAATACTGGTGTTATTAAGGAACCAACTCTGACAAAGGTGTTGGTGAATTGTATGTATAAGAGGTCAATCAGGTTTTGCTACAAGCTGGTGTTACAAGCCAACAATGAGGAATTCTCTCATTTGAAGGGACACTATAGCTTAATGTAGTTGTTCTGGTGAGTACAGTCCATCCCTGCAGGTTTTTGTTGTAAACACTGCCTTTTTAGAGAAAAGGCAATGTTTACCTTGTAGCCTAGGAACTCCTCTAGTGACCACTCCTCAGATGACAATTAAAAGTGCTTCCTGGTCAGTGCTGCACAGTTCAGCGTCTTCTACATAGAGACACATAGAATCCTCATAGAGATGCTTTGATTTAATGCATCTCTATGAGAAGATGCTGATTGGCCAGGGCGCATTTGGCTATATCCCCTCCCCGCTTCCTTTGCTGAGATCATCATAATTGACCATCTAAGCCAATCCAATGCTTTTCTATGGGAAAGCATTGTGATTTGCTGAGATTATCACTTTGATGATGTCAGCCAAGGAGGCAGATCGGGGTGGAGCCAGCGCTGATGGACTCACATGGGACTGGAAATAACATACTTTTTACAATATTTAATGGGGACATGAGGGCTTAATAGTGTTTTTAACAATATAGGATCAGGAATACATGTTTGTGTTCCTGACCCTATAGTGTACCTTTAAACTTGAACCAGGCTTGAACAATTCTTGTAGTAGTTTCAGCAAAAAGAGAAAGACACAATCTTTGTGTATGTATATCAGCAGCATACCAATGGCTTAGAAATCCATGCCAAGGGCTTGATATATACTTTGATCAGTAGGCACAATACGAAAACATTTTGTTGCATTTTATATACAAAATCTGAATATTCTACTCTAAACTGTGACCATACATTTTTAATATTAAGGAACATTGCTTTGATACTTGTGGTGGTGGCAGAGCTGTAATAATCAATAATCCCACAATAAAAATACTTGTATAAGGTTCTTCTGTACAAATGTCTTTTTTTCTTCTTTAGAAAGGCAAGTGTAAGTTGCTTTTACCCTGAGAATATTATCCAGGAATGCTTAACTATTAACTGTATTTACATAAGGACTCGATACAGGTGGGATGGAATATCTGTAATTTTTTTAGACTCTTAAAACTGTGTTATTCTTATTTCAACTGCTTCTTTCTAAAACTGTAGCATCATATATTTTATTAAAAATATATTTAATAATTTTAAAATATATATATTGTGAGCCGGCGGAAGAAAGCTATAAATTAAATTTACAATATCAAAATCGGATATGAAAAGTATTTGCAGATGTAAGTGAGGATTTACATAACCTTTCAGTGTCTAGTAGGGGATATTTAACCAGCAACAGAGGAACATTTCATAGTATTTGCTGTTCTTTAAGTTATATTTGTAGAATTCAAATGGATTCTTTTTATTAATATTTACAGAACAATTAATATTGCAAATTGTATTAATTCAAGCCATTTATAAAGGAAATAACAATATTAACATTAAACTCCAAAGACATAAAATAGGCATATAGATAGATGATATTAAAATAAAATGAAAATTAAGAAGGCATAGAACATAATGTAAATGTAAATATTAAACTCACTCATTGTGGCCTTTCTATGAACTCCCTAGTCATAGTTCCCTCTTTAATAATCGTACATTATAGGTCACTATACAGAAGTGTTAGTCTTAAACCACTGTAGATTTTGGATTTTGTATTAAATTCTTAACTCTTAAAGGATCGTGGCTGTTTTGAGATGCCACGTGTTTGTGACCAAGGTCTTTTTGGCACTTTTTCAATTCGTCCATTATACCACAATTTACCCCTTTCTGCATATTATATATCATTTTCAATTGAACTATTTGAGCACTGCACATAACTTACCTGTCAGTCTGGTGTCACTAATTGTTGACCTGGCTGACAGAGGGGACCCTCGGTTATCAAATGATACCTGATGCTTCTTAGTACCAGTGGGTTTACCCCTGGTGGTACTTTTGTTGCATGATGGTCTATGCTGTCAATGCTCACTAAAGTCCTGCACTGCACGACGACATAGACCGTTATGCAGTCCTTAAGTGTTTTAGTAGCAATATTTCATGTTTATCTACATTGAATAAAAATAATAAGGGGGTACGACCTGACATTGGGCAATGTCAGTCACATATAGCTGGTGCTCCTCAAGGAAAGCCTAAAATTGAGCCTATTACCTCGCAAGAAAAAACACATTATTTTCTGCAGAAACACTGCTCTATCTACCAGGGAAAACCTTGCCACACATTTGGTCTGTATTTTACTAGACCCATCAGCCCAGTGGCGTACACATGACCAATGGGGCCCCGGTGCGAAAATTGATCCTTGGGCCCCCCCCCGCGCTTACCTGTGTGGGTCGGGGCCGCAACACATGACGGCGGGCACCTGGTCGCAGGGGTTGCAGGGCTGCGACCCCGCGACCCCAGTATGCACACAAACTTAAAGGAACACTACAGACACCCAGATCACATCAGCTCAATGAAGTGGTCTGGGTGCCAGGTCCCTCTAGTTTTAACCCTGCAGCTGAAAACAGCCGTTTCAGAGAAACTGCTATGTTTACACTGAGGGTTAATCCAGCCTCTGGTGGCTGTCTCATTGACAGCTGCTAGAGGAGCTTCCGCGATTCTCACTGTGAAAATCACAGTGAGAAGACACTGAACGTCCATAGGAAAGCATTGAGTAATGCTTTCCTATGGGGGTTTTAAATGCGCGTGCGCCTCTTGCCACGCATGTGCATTCGGAGCTGAGTGGTGGACACTGGGGAGTCCGACGCTGGAGAAAGGGAAATGCTGAAGACACACACACACACTCTCACGAACAGACGCATACACACTAGCTAACAGACACACACATTTACTGACAGAGACACACTCAGCGACAGACATACATACACACTCACTTACAAAACATACACTTTCACTGACAAACACACACTCACTAACAGACATCAAACACACTCAGTAACAGACACACACAGTAACACACTCACTAGCAGACACACACCCAATAACAGACACACTCACTAACAGACATCAAACACACTCAGTAACAGACACACACAGTAACACACTCACTAGCAGACACACCCAATAACAGACACACTCACTGACACACACACTAACACACGCACTAACACAAACAAACACTAACACACACACTAACACAAACACACACACACTAACAAACACAAACACACACACTAACACACACACTAACACAAACACACACACTAACACACAAACACACACACTAACACACACACAAACACACACTAACACACACACACATTTTTTTTTACATTTAATCCCCCCAGCCTCCTTACCTTTTGGAGTGCTGGGGGGATTCCCTGGGGTCCAGTGGTGCTGCTGACCCCGGCGGGCAGGCGGGCTGGGTGGCCGGTGCGTGAGGGAGCACTCTCCTCTGAGTGCTTCCTCTTCAACTCCCTCGCGCGCCGCATAGGGATACCGGTGCCGTAAGATGAATCTTCCATGGATCTGTTCCAAACTGTCTTTGTACCCCCGTTGCCTCCTTTAACCCAGCAGGGGATATGTCGGTTACACCTTGTGAGCTTTTGGCCTAAGTTCCACCAACGAGCAGTTGACTCCTTATCTTACTTTACCTGTGCTTCCAGCCTACATCTCTTTGTCGACTCCAGAGGGCAAAGTTTTCTCCATGTTTCCCCAGTATAGCTTCATAGGAGCTGAGAAAGCAGAAGAAACCGTGGTTGGCACATCACCGCATAGTGTTCCGTTTCCAACCCACGCCATCACTTACTCAGGCCATGAGCCGAACAGGGCCCAAATCCCCCCTGCACAGCTCACGTCATCAGGAGTGGAGATGCTCTTAACATCAAGTGGTTTATTCTTTTTCAATATTATTATTTTTCAGCATTCTGACTCTCAGCAATTGATCTACATAATTTTGCTTATGGCTCATTAAGCTGGAACCTCTGCACATATTGTAGCTTACATCGGGTCTCCTATACTCCGTCTCATAATGCAAGTTATTTATTGTTTGTTATCACGTAGTTCTTGCTCTTGTGATATAGTATGCAACATTTTAGACAATGAAAAATGAGGCATTATTACTCTGTATACATTATGCACGGCTTTGCTATATTTTGCCTGTGAACTATTGGTCTGATGTATACCTGCTCTCGTTGTGATGTATTTTTACTTTATGCCTCATTAAAAAAATAATTAAAAATAAAAGAATAAAAATTTGATTCATCCATTTTGCTCTCTTAATGCAAAGAAACGAACAACATATTAGAAACTTTTTTGTTGTATAAAATAGGGAAGACTTATTAAATTCCTCATTTGGTCAACAATTATTGTTAGTAATCTGTCACAGTATAAACATAACATACTGGATTATTTTGATCTCTTAAAGGGACACTATAGTCACCAAAACAACTTTAGCTTAATCAAGCAGTTTTAGTATACAGATCATGTCCCTGCAGTTTCAGTTCTCAGTTCTTTGCCATTTATGAGTTAAATCACTTTTGTTTCTGTTTATGCAGCCTGAAACACATCTCACATGGCTGTGAAAAGCTCTTCGACTAGCCCTACTAAAATCCCACTCACACTGTTCGAATCAATCAGTTTCAAATGGTTAAGCACACAGACACTCCTTTACACATTGGAAATCACACTGTCAAAAGCAAGGTAAGTGTGTAATATGAAAAATATGTGGTATAAATGTAAATGTATAACTGTGTGGATACACTATGTGCAATGTGTGTAGCAATGTAAACAAAATGCTCTTACACCTCTCTCTTTGGTGCTATCTCCCCTATTGCCCTTTGCCCTAGCTCTGGGGGTACAAAACACAGGTAAGTTATGGCATGGAATTTACAGTTTATATATTGCTTTGGTACTGAGCTTTCCATATACAATGTAACTGGTTAGTCATAAAATAGATTTTAATAATCATTAAACATTTCCATTGATTTCATAGGCTCCGTGAATCCCTCTGTCTGAAAAACTCCACCTTGTCACTTGAGCATTTATTTCTATATGTTTTTTTTTTTTCAAATATACGATCTGCCTTTACATATAAGGCAGTCTGTTTCTCATTTAATAGAATTGGGCATTTTGTGCACAAAGAATACCGAATATAACTGAATAAAGTTAAATACTCAATATACACAAAAAGAGAAATTTTTTATTAAATTGTAGTTTTTCACCTCTAAAAAAATAGATTTTTTTTACATGTACAGTAAAAAAGTGGATTCTGTTAGGACTAAAGGATATTGGCTTACACACTTCCAGTACACACAAGTATTCTAATTTGGGGTGTATGAATACACCCCCCTGAACTTCACCCCTATATCTATTTAAAAAATGTAAAAATAAAAAGATAAAAGATGACATGTTAAATGCTCTTTTGCACTCAAAGTCTTTAAACAAGCGTCATACTAAAAATAATACACAATATACTTTAAACATAAAAAAAATACCATTTATTTTATTTAGCAGACTATTGTGTTTGGATGACACATTTAAAATATATATTTAAAGCAAAATTTAAATGTGAAAAAGTGTTGAAGAACATATAACTCTTTAATATATGTAGATGTTTCCACCAAGATAAATGCAAGATTTAATAAGCAGGTTTGACACGAACCTTTTATTTTCATAATGAGACTGAGGTTAGTGCTCTGAAAGTAAGCAAGTACTCATGGAAGCTCTAGATATTTTAATGGGTGTCACGGACAGGATAGACACCAGTTCTTTGTCTTAAAACATCCAACACAAGGACATCTTCAATTCAATATTTAAATACTAAAGGAGAAGAAAGAGATTTTCAAATAATTTATCACATAACACCCTTTGAACTTGTTTGAAAATCTCTTTCCTGTAGGAGCAAATATATTCATGCCTCATTCAAAGCTGAATGAACAATAAATATTTTAGAATATTTGCTTTCTCACTCCAGGTGTAGTCTATGTTTTTGTTACGATTTGTCAGGTATGTCAACTGTGCTACTCGGAGCACATACATTACCTGTGTAAGCTGTCACCACTAGCCATCTAATATCCTTTTGTAGAATATTCTGTGTTAATCATGCCTTTAACTTGTCCTTCACACAGGTACTTTTATTATAGGTTGAGAATAATATGTTCTTTTCAGAATAGATACAAACACCAATTATCCAAGCATGGGGCCACTTTGTTAAAGTTTATTTTTAGTTTAACGACACATGCCAGGCAGTCTGCAGATTCTGCTGGAATTTTGGTATGCACATCCTTCTGCTATAATTGTACATGTGATATTGGTGACAGAGATATGGGGTATCTTCCATGCACTTGACAATGGTGATGGTTGGATCCCAATAATACAGTGTTGAGGGGTTGACAAAAAAAAAAATCATGAACAACATGATTGTGGTTCCAGGATGGAATTTGTATTTCAATAGTTCTAAAAAGATATATTTTAGCAAGATATTCATTCTAATTATAGCAAGGTTGATAGTCCAAATGTATTCCCTCGGTGGAGGTCTGCTTTCAGTGTTGTCATTTAAATTCTGTGTTACCTTCACCCGTATACGCACAAGGTCTTTGTCGTGGTTTTTCCAGTGACATGGTGGAGTGATTTCCTTTCAACTCCTACCATTAGTCAGAATATCTTGTATAATGTGATAGATCTGGGACAGAGTGTAAACTTGTGAATTTAGTTTTGGATTCAGCAAAGTGCTTATTAACATACTAATATGGTAAAAATAAGAAACTGTGGCCTGATACATAATACTTAGTGGGAAAGAATTGTATGTATTAGTTTTTTAAATAATGAAACTCATCCGACTATTAAAGCAACCGTGCCACCCACTCGGAATCACTTGTTCAAGTTTTTATAAAGATTGAGAGAACTTTTCTTTGTGTCTAGTAGTCAAGATGACAAAACCTGACAATGGACAGAGCTTAAGCAAATTTAACCACCACCAAATAAAAGAATATTGCTGAGCCTGGATATTAAGATCCTGCACAAGGAATAACAAATAATATATATAAATAAACAGGATTGCCATAAAAACACTTGGAATCTCTTACAAACCGAGGGCTAGGCTCCTACCAACCCACTCACCCATACACGCATACTCACAACATGTACCATTACACACAGATAACTCTAACACACAAACACATTCCAGTCACACTCACAGATATACACACATGCCTAGATACAAACTGAGAGACATACATATACACAAGGAACTACGAGACATACATACACACAAGGATATTCAATGTCAGACACACAGATACCAATACACACTACAAGACAGACCTACACATTGACAAGTATACATGCACATACTAACAGCTATACATAAACATACACACACACACACACACACTGCCAAACACAGACACAGTGGTAGACACACACACTCTAAATCATGGATAAACAGATAAACTCCAAGTATTAGAATTATACCGCCCACATGAAAATACTTGGAAGCTCCAATTGTAAGTGCTTTTTTATATTCCTTTCACCAATCACGATAACACACTACACTATATGGTATTCCTTTGTCTTCTTATTTTGCATATTCACTGATTATCACTTGGACCTGAGTACAAGCAAAAGACGCGGCTTCCGCACCACTATCCTAAACTCTGAAACACGAATTCATACACCGATAGATACATATATTCACTTACAGAATCAAACAAATTGAAAATGTTTCAGCTACTCGCCTCTTTTTCTACCTTTTGCAACACGGGTGGCTTCCTCGTGCTGCAGCAGGGATCCAGCACTAGCTCGGACCTGTGTTGAAAGGGCTATGGCCTCCTTTGAAATCACGGAACAAGTTAAGGAACATCACTTCCTCTCAGAGCAGCGTGCTCAGGATGAATGGGGAGAGGCTATACTTGTAAGTGGCCGTGTTGTCACAGATCTGCATTATGGTCCTGACTCACTTGGAATACCTAATGTTACAGAGCCCCAGAGGACAGAAAGTCCTCTTACAAGTATAAATTTTGAACCCCCTGATGGTGGCCCTGTAAATAAAGGCAAATGGCAAGGTGGGAGCATAATCAATAAGATACAGTGGACTCCACAAAAGCAAAATCAAACTCCAGTAAATATCATGTAAGGCAGGGGTAGGAAAACCTTCAGCACTCCAGATGTTGTGGACTACATCCCCCATAATACTCTTACACCCATAATCCTGATGACAAAGCATCATGGGTGGTGTAGTCCAAGACATCTGGAATGCCAAAGGTTGCCTATGCCTGATGTAGGGCATAGTTCTGAAGGGAAACACTTATTTGAATAAATGTTTTCATGTTTACAGTTTTACCAAATATTTTATAAGATAATATTGTGTAACTATGTGATCCCATAGCTCCAGGCATTTTAAATGTAAGTACAGTTTATAAATCTAAATAAATTATTCAGTATTAAAACAAGTTTGCAATTTGCTGAAATTAATATTAACAAGCAAATTCTAAAGAGAGAGAAAATTCCGTAAACCCCCAACAGAGCCAGTGTCCTATCTGTTAGGGGTTTACAGGGTACCCCTCTTTTTCACTGTTGCGCTCTCCCAGTGGTCAGCCAGATAGCTTGGAGAATGCACTTACTCATCACTTTGTGCAATGCTTCTTATAGAAAGATTCAATGCTTGTCTATGAGAAGTACTGCTGGCTAATCTTGGAAATTGCTTCTCTACGAGTATGTGTACAGATGTCTTCTCTGGGCCCTGGTGAGTTTGGCTCCAGAAAATTGTCCCTGCAGACCTGCCTTCTAAATTTCATGGTAGGTACCAGCTCTACTAGCACGGCCAAGAACACGGCCAAGAACACGGCCAAGAACAGCTTCATGGCGCCTGCAAGAGCTGCGGGCGTTGATGAGCCTGCTACACTGCCAGTAGTTCTGCATCTGAGTGAAGCATTCGTTTAGTAACTCTCTAATGATGTTCATTAGCTAATGCTGCATCTGATATATATCCTTTAATAAAACACTTTCGCCAATGTTTGCAAAATTTTGATTCTATTTATATTTCTCATATTACTTCAGAAGGTTCAGATTTTAGGCATTTTATTTTTCTTTGACACTTGTTGAACTAACTTTATATTGTGTGCTTTCAATGCTTTTTCTTCTTCAAGGTGGTTATTTAATTTATATTCCCTAATTCTTTTTTATATGTGATGCATGTAGCATGAAAAATCTGCACATTACAGCTGTATATACTTGTCAAAGAGACAGCTGTATCCTTCATATAATTTTGTTGATTTATGCTGCTATTTTTGAGCACTTTTACACACATGGGCTCACATTTAGGGAAATTACAATCTCATATCCGATATTTATTACACATCAACAGCTGCTGATGAGCCGTTAATGATGTGGACATGATCACAATCCAACAACATTTTTACCATTATTGGATCAGTGAAAATGTGCCCTAAAACTTAGATTAAATAGTCATCGTTCTGGACTCACAATCGTTCCAAAGAGTTACCTCCAATTCAATGGGATCATTGAAAATGTGTGAATTTAACATCTCAAAGACCTTTGAAATGCTATTCTAGTAACTATCCAAAACTCCCAAAATATTTTAAAACTTTAGCCCATGAGCAGTATAAAGTCACAAATGTCCCCCTGACTTGATGACATATACACACAGCGTTAAATAATTATTCCTCATTGATCAGTTACACTAATTAAATTACATGGAATAAAGCAATGTAAAGCAAATAGCCCCTGTAACAATAAAATAGAACAAAATTGATAATATAAATACATGTACACAATACCTGAAACATCCATTTAAAAAGTCTGTCTTAGAGAAACACAAAAATTCCTATGTGGTACTTAATGGGCCAATTATCCACCTGTAACCTATTAACATGGGCAGCAGTGGATGGGTTCCCGACATGGGGTATGGCTCTAATATTGTAAGAGGAGAAAAACCAGTAGCCCCTGCAATAGTACCAACAGCGACAACAGCACCATGGAGTTGTGGTGCATGTGAGACCTAGTCAGAAGAGTTCACCAGGTGAGAGGGACACAAAGACCCTTCCTCAACAGCAAACACAAAGGGTTCCTACGATGCAACATTAGAGAGTTTTGCTTAAGGGCTTTATGAATGTGGAGATACATGACAGTTATTGAAAACATCCTATATAATCTGTTCATAGGAAGACTTGGAGCCCTAGTATTGGGCTAAACATGTACTACCTCCGCTGGTAGAATTAAACTTACAAAAATAATTAGTGACACTCACAATCATTCAAATCGCGTCTGCAACTGTACTTATAAATTTGGTGCTGCTAGTGCTGGGCAACAGTGATATATATTTCACATATAATATATATATAAAAGTGCATTTTTTTTCACCCCAAAAAATTTGCACAAACAATTTTCACTTTGGAAATACTTGCACTTTTGTGTATATATTTATTTGTGAGCCATTATTGATTAATTACAGAAGTGAGAATACCACGTAGACCAAAGTCATGTCAAGACATAGAAAATTATAATAGGTAACAAAGATTTTCATTTCAGAATGAAAATTGCTAAGTTTTCCCCTAAAAAAATGTTCACTTGCGTTTTTATTAAATTTGATAAATGCTACCTGCCTGAAGCTTTGACCGGTCAGTCAATTACCAGAACAAAACCAGTAAAGAATTTCAAGTTTAGTACGGCTTATAACTAATTCTACTTTTAATTAAATTAAGGGAGTTTAGAAACAATTTGCATTTTTGAAACAGTTTTTGTGCTAGAAATAATTTGTCTCAATATGGTCTACATTTTAGTTTTACTGAAGGATTTCGTGATTGCAATCTGAATTAACATCATTTTAAAACTTTTTTAATTACACTTATATTTCAATGTTCTCAAAGCCTGAAAGAAGTCTGTATCATGAAACCACTTTATTTTTTCACATTTTACAATAATGCATCCTTTCCGAATAACCATTCTATCATGCAGTGCAGAATTAATTGGGGGAAATAATTATGTGCAAGCTTACAACTTCATGGAAATTAACAATATATATATTTTATTATTAATGAGGTGCTTTCAAACTGAGGGGGAAGGATGTATCATGATTTTGGCTCTTGTGGTTTATAACGTCTCAGCAGGTCACAATGTATGTTCCTCTAGTTTATTATCATAGCTGGAAATAGTTTCTGTGAAAAATATAGCATGTCACGTACTTTGCCAGGAATTCATTATGCCATCAAGAGTTTTTATTTAAAAACAAATTAGGATATTTTTTACACACAGAAATAAAAAATATTCTACAGACATATTTCATTCTTCATATGTTCACCCAGTCTCCACTCCTTCAAAAAAATTGTTAAAACCCCACTTCTTCATAAAAGCGTATCCATTAAACTGTTAATAGCTCCTGACTGATTCCTCTTCTGCAACTGTCATTAGTCTAATACTATCCTTACCTTTTTGTGTCATTTTACCCCACTCCCTCTAGCATGTAAGCTCATTGAGCAGGGCCCTCAACCCCTCTGTTCCTGTGTGTCCAACTTGTCTGGTTACAACTACATGTCTGTTCGTCCACCCATTGTAAAGCGCTGCGGAATTTGATGACGCTCTATAAATATCATAATAATAATAATATATGTAAATGAAACTGAAGCTTATAATGGTCTTTGATTTGAGCTTGTTTATCATTTGTTTTTTGTAATTCATAATTTATTTATTTTTTCGGTAATTGTTGTGTAAATACAAAATAACAAATAGGTTCCAGATTCCAAATTGCAGTAGAAAATAATTGACTAGGCATGAAGCATTGGAAATAACATTGGCTGCCTTTGTAGACAAAGATAATTCCAGACTCTCAGTCCCGAATCTACTGCTTTTCAGGGCATCAAATGAAGTCAATGGCTTGACTAAAGTAGATTAAAGCACAAAAACTATATTAAGACTTTTCACATTAATAATAAATGAAACACAATGAAGGGAATTAATGGCACTCAATCTAATGTGATTTATCAATGACAAATGGACTCAATCATAGACAAGAGGAGGCTTGCTTCTTTTAACACAGGAACTCATTAGACGAAAAGATTAAATTATTATTTTCCTTAGGGAGTTGCCATAATCCATGGATCTGGGTTTGCGTGACACTATTATGGCATTCAGGATAGGCACATGTTATAGATGAATGACAATTTAACAGATCCTGTAGGTTCCAAAACATATACATACACGACAAAACATATAGATGATGGGAGCGTGTAAATAACAAAGGAGTCAAAATGGAATAAAGCATAGAAAAGGTAAAGACTTATAGAAAAAAACTATTAAAACACCTTACAAATTTAAAATATACAAAATTAATGTATGAATTAAAGTATGAATTTTAGGCACACGCATTGAGTAAAAGGTGTTATCCCCCTTTTTCTTTCAAAATGGATTTAATTTTTGATGGCAATATAATATAATCATGGATAACATGCCTGCACAACTTATCATTTAATTCATCACGTGACCATACAACATTGTTTAATTTATACTGAAGATACAAGTTGATTAATAGATAATGAGAATTACTATCTTAAAATGTGGGAGACTTCATAGCAACTTTAAACTGGGTTGGCACTAGTGGGGCATATTTGGGCCCACGTTAGGCCTGCATATTCTTTTAAGAAAGTAATAACAATGTAACAAATATAGGTATGTTATTGAAAAAACAAAATAACAGTTGAAGATAAATACATTTTTACAAGTGGCTCATTAGAAAACACAGTGAATCTAGTTAATTGGCCCTTGGTGATGATACATTTTAGGTTAAATGTATTACATAGGGGGATCAGATTGTAATACCATCAATCTTCTCTCTGTGAAGCATTACCTTGTGAAATTAAAGAAGACATAATGAGCAGGGATTCTACATTTAGATGAGTTTGATAACTACCTCGTTGATGATAAGATTACTAACCCAAAAAGCTTCCTCTCTTGTATTCATAATGAGAAATATGCTCACTCATATTTTATCCCAGTTTAATTATTCAATTTCCTTTTCTATTACAGAGAAAAAATAAATCTCTATTAAAAGTTAAAAATTTCATATTTAGTAACTTATTTTATATATAGTAAGTGTTAATGGTTTTCATTTTTTAAATGACGCCATGTTTTTCCCACATGTTGTATTTGGCATTTTTAAATGTTTTCACTTTGCTTCGTCATTTAAACACTTGCAGACATTTCCAGATTGAGATAGCCGTTTGAAATCCTTCCAAATTCAGCTTTTTGTCATTTTTGGTCTGCCTGGAAATAAAATATTGCAATATTCAGTCCATTTTCATAAATACCATTACATTCCAACTTTTATTCTCATAAATGTGATCCAATGGTAGTATATGCTGGTGACTTCATTTGTTATATTAAATACTATATGTCAGAATACATTTTGTCCTTTTATTGCATTAAATTGGTACACCAGGGGAAAAAACTATTGTTAGATTTTGTTTTTTTTTAAAGTATAAATGTATGTGCAGGAAGAAACAAGCATTCATTGTCTCAATAATCACACTTTCTCGACATTTACAAGAGGTGGTGAGTTACAATGAGATATCAGTCTGCAAGACATAATAGAATGTTGTGACTTCATATTTTAGAATAACTTACTCTGTGATCTATGCTGTCAAAAACACTAATAATAAACTAACAAATTTGCCCATACTTATTTTCACACAAAAAATTCACTCATCACCACTGGTAGAAAATCGTCGTGCAAAGCAGATGTATAATTAGCATATTCTTCAGAGTTTTCTGATTAAGCGTGACTATATCTAAAAGTTTACATTTCAGTAATTTCTCTTTAAGAAAACTTTAAATCAGAATTAAAATGCTTTACTTGTTAATTGTAAACATCATTTTATCTGCATCCATGAATGTTCAAACAGATCAATAGATTCACTTGGTACACAAAA